TATTTGATTTTTGCTTAAATTTAGTTAAACGGCCTGGGAGAGTTCTGTGCTCTGATGTGAGTGATTCAACTCCTTGCTGTAAGGAGTTGAATAAAAATTAAGTTGGTCATCTGTTACATTTTGAATTAAAGCACATTCAGTATTTTGACCTGCTTGCACTACATAGGCTGAATTAGAAATTATGTTTACAGGCCGGGTGAGGTGGCTCATGCCTGTAATCCCAGCACTTTGGGAGGCCGAGGCTGGTAGATCACAAGATCAGGAGTTCAAGACCAGCCTGGTCAAGATAATAAAACCTTGTCTCTACTAAAAATACAAAAATTAGCCAGGTGCGGTGGCTTGCGCCTGTAATTCCAGCTACTTGGAAGGCTGAGGCAGAAAATTGCTTGAACCTGGGCAGCAGAAGTTGCAGTGAGCCCAGATTGCCACTGTACTCCAACCTGGGTGATAGAGTGAGACTCTGTCCCCCCACATCAAAAAACAAAAACCCAGAAATTTGCCGGGAACTCTTGTCCAGCAAGAGGATTCCACCCTGAGTGGGGAGTGCGCAGGAAGAAAGGAGACAGAACAGGCAGGGTCAGGAGGATTGAGGAACAATCTTCCACCAACAACTTTATTCCACAGAGACTCAGTTTATATACATTTTCCAAAGAGAAAAACAAGTCATTAAATCACATACCAATCACAATGTATATGACAAGTACACAATTGATAATCCTGCAGGGTAATGATTATTTTGGGAGTATATACAAAGACTTTGTTCCTCCTGACTGCCCTGATCTCCTAAATCACATTGTCCTTCAAGAGTGCACATCCCTCCGGTTATCTTTTAACTAGCTTCTCCTTTTACCTTACCCCATCTCTCAACCTCAAATTCCTTCTTCCTGGAGTCACTGTGTCTGGGCCCAACCACCCATATCGTGCAGCTCAGCTCACCTTGCAAGCCTCACACGGGTGGGTTCCCAAGAGAAATTATGTTTACAGGTTGTTTAAATGCTTGTAAAACCTTAATTACTGTGGTTAACTCAGTTCTTTGTGCTGACAAATAATAAGTTTGCCATTATATTTAGTTTTGGCCCCACAAAAGCAACTTTGCCACTGCTGGAGCAGTTAGTAGACAGTGACAGCCCCTTCTACGGGATATTTTAGAGTGATAGAAGGTAATACCTGTTAAAACCCGCTCTCTGAACAAAGAGATCCCCAAACAGCTTTGTGTGAGCAACATGGCTGTTTATTCACCTGGGCTGAGGCCGAAAAGGGGGTCAGTGAAGGGGGATGGGATAGGAGTTGGTTTTATAGGTTTGGGGTGAACAGTGGAGTTACAGAAGTTAAAGCTTAGGGTAGTTTTTTGCAAGCTGGGAGAAGGTCTTAGGGTGTGGAGTCAGGAGGCTGGGCCAAGGTCAGTTATGAAGTCCAATGCCCTTGTCAACTAAAGTCCGAATTAGAATCAATAAATGTCTGATGGTTCTTCCTTCCAGCTACTTCAGGCTCTCTAATTCCAGAAGGCCCTCCAGAGGTGTGCAGTCAGACCTTCCATTCCTGTCTTTTCATATGAGTAATATAAAGGAAAAAGAAGTGAAGAGTGGAGGGCAGTGGACTATCAGGAAGGCCGGCACGGAAGGGTGATGGGGCGATGCTTCTCAGGGCTTCTTTGAGTGGGATTGGGGGCCGCGTGGAAACCTAAAAATGGAAAAGAACTTAGACTGCTGGGAGACCTCGGGGCAAGGGGTGATATTGCACCCACATTTGCAGCTTGGGCTCCGGGCTCGGGTTCTTGGCCTCCCTTGCCGGAAGAACCAAGCAGGAAGCCTTACCCCCACGGTGAGTGTTCCAGCTCCAAACAAGAGTTCACGGACCCAGAGAGTGAGCAGCAGTGCAGCTTATTGAGCAAGCCAAAGCGAAAGCTTCCACAGCATGGAAGGGTGGAAGGGGCCCGAGAGGCTTGCCGTGATGGTCAGGGCTGCCTGGGCTTCTATCCCCAAGTAATCCTGAGTTGCTGAGTGTTTGTCCCTAGTCCCGTGTGGGGAGGGGGCCTGTGACCACGAGTCACCTAATCTCTCCTCTGAGATGGGGAGTGTTTGTCCCTAGTCCCGTGTGGGGAGGGGGCTTGTGACCACGAGTCACCTAATCTCTCCTCTGAGATGGGGAGTGTTTGTCCCTAGTCCCGTGTGGGGCGGGGGCTTGTGACCACGAGTCACCTAATCTCTCCTCTGAGATGGGGAGTGTTGCCCCAGTCACATAATCTCTCCTGGTGGTTGTTTTCTGGTTTCTGTGTGACTTTGCAGCATTGGAATGTGGTTGAACAGCTACTGACACTTTGAGCACAGCCTCCTGGTATAGTTGAAGTACCCGTGTCCACCCTTCCCATGTTAGGATTTCCAAAGGTTCCCCACTGACCCAAAAGGTTTCATTCCCTCAGTGCCCCCTCTGAAGAGGAAAACCCCACTGCTGCTGGGAAAGGGCAGACAACCGCTCTTCACTACTTCCTGCTGAGTAGGGGCGGAGAAGGGCCCACAGTTGGAGTTTTCCTCCAGAGCGGAGGCTTCCGGGTTGGTGGGTCGATCCAGGGGTTCACGGTAGACGCTGGGGACAGAAGTCATCTGGGGTTCCATTTGCAGGACCATTTGCCATTTTAGGGATTTCATTCTAGAGGAACCAAAGCGGATGAAGAGATTGAAAAGGTATGGGCCAGAGGCTGTGCCAGGATGATTGAGAGGAGGGTCCTGAGAAGGGAGAAGCCAGAGGAGGATTCGTCGTGAGAACCAGGAGGCAGTTTCAGTTCTTTCACCAGCAGGCAGTTGGTTGGCCCTATCCTGAAGCCGCTTAATAACTTCTGGGACTATCCCCGACTTATTAACATAGAAACAACATTCCTCATTTAGAAAAAGGCAGCTCCTCCTTTTTCGGCAGTGAGAAAGTCTAGTGCCCCCCTCTTTTGAAGGACCACAGCTGCTACTGAGTCTACTTGGTCCTGGATTTGAGTAAGTTGGAGGGAGACGTTATCCAGGCTGGCTTTAAATTTTTGGACTGTTAAGGACACTACTAATCTAGGTGTCCCTGTGCCTAACGCGGAAGCAACCCTTAGCCCGGCCAGTAGGGAAGCAGCGTGATTGCCCTTGGCTGAACCTTGGCAAGAAGGGGCACAGCTACTGCTACCTCTGAGGAGTAACTCACGGGGGCCACTGTGTAGGCTAGAGTGAGGTTCTCGTCCAACCGGCAGGAAGGCAAACGTAGGATTTACCACGTGCAAAGACTCCTTGTTGGGCCTTAGTGCACCCTTGCAGCTGAACATTTAGCAGGGATGAGGTTGGTTTGAACTTATTTCTCATTCCCACAATTTAAGTGTGACAGATGGGCTGCCCCTAATGGTTGGCGCAGGATGGAATTTGCCAGGGACATGTTATGGTGTCCCTCTAAGGCCACCCAGTGGTGAGCCGTGTTAAGAAAAACTTGGGCTCCAGAGATCAGAGGAGCAATGGCCTTATTGAGAATTCTGAGGTTCTGCACCAATCTCCATCGTCCGTTAGGGTCTTGTACTCCTAAAATAGGAGTGTTGCAGGGACGATTACATGGCTTTACTAAGCCCTGGGCTTTCAGATTTCTAACAGTTTTTTATAAGCCCTGCTGAGCTTCGGGTCTGAGAGGACACTGCCTTTGGTAGGGAAAAGAAGTAGAATTTCGTTTAATCTGAACAGGAGGGCGTTTTTTCCTTGCCCATATTGGCTTTTTGTTGCTCAGACCTGAGGATCAATTCCCTCCTCGAGTACAGGGCAACAAACAGGTGTTTCCACTCCTATATTTATATGTATAATGGCTCCTGCTTTGGCCAGAATGTCCTTTTCCAGTAGAGGAGCAGGGCTCTCAGCATCACGACACATGTGAAAAGAGTAGCGTTTCCCAGTTATAAGTTGGTGGGTGGGAGAAGCACCTAGTGACTAGTTGCCTTAGCACTCTTCGGTGTTGACAGACCTGCAGGACAACTGTCCGGGACAGAAGAGTAAAACTGAGAAGGCCACGCTGATGTCCAGGCCCTTTATGGTCAGCTTTACCCACTGTGTTACAGCGGACATCATTAATCATAGGCTTCTTCCTAGTCTTTCTTAATCCCTCTGCTATGCAAGTTAGAAAGTGCCTGCGATTCCAATTTCCCCGCTGAGTCCTGGTTCTAGTGGGGATCTTCACTAGGGACTGCCTGTTGACCTATAGGGAATTGCTGCCTTTCCTCTGATGTCATTCTATCATTTACCTGGCTTAAATACCAGAGACCCCCAAATTCTTGTGCTGCAGTTAAGCTGGCCTCTTTTTCATTGGGAGTTAATGGTTGACTCAGCAATAACATAGTACCTCTCCATGCCAGATCGAAAGACTGTCCTAATCCTTGCAAGACGTCTATGTATCCAACAGGATTATCTGAAAACTTTCCTAGATCAGCTTATTTCGCTTCAAATCTGGGAGAAGGGAATATGTACTTTGGTTGGGCCAGATTCCCCTCCTGCCACCTGTAGGGGGCATAATTTGGGCACTCAGACTATTTGTGCCTCCTTGATAGTCTCCTTGTAAGTCCTTTTGGGGGTGAAAGTTAGAGGAGGAGACTTGAGAGAGGAAGGAGCCATGGGGGAGTCACAGATACTGGGGCAATGCGGGGCCACTACCAATGGGACAGGCTACAAGCTCTGCATAATCACAGGTTATCCTTCAGGAAAAAGAAAGTTTGCACGTATGGGATTTTATTCTATTCACCCTCCCTATTACAGAAAAGATTCAATCGTAAGATAGCATTATAATTTCCACTTTCCTCAGGCGGCCAGCTTCTTTTTTAGGGTTTGGGGGTTAAATTGATTCCAGTTATCCAAGATGCACTTTAGAAGAGACTTGGCCTTTGGAAGGGTGGTGCCCATCTGGAATTATAATCTGGCATGTGCCGCGTCCAGCACTGCACAAGGATTTAAGGACCTAAGACGGAACAGTGGTGAATAAGAAAAGACACAGGCACGGACATCGAGAAAGCTGGGCCAGGTGGTCCGGAAAGTGAGGATGTCAGTCTCTCCAGCCCCGACTTCTCTCAGTGTACTTTATTTGTTCACAAAGCACATAGCAGAGGGAGGGTGCAGTTACTTAGAACAGCCTTTGGTTATCATCTTCATACTTCAGTTAACATTCTTCAGCTAAAAATGATCTTGCAGCACGGCCAGTGAAAGCTGGTTCTTTCTCTAAGCCTGTCTGTTCTACTCCAAGACATATACATCCTCCAGTGAAGTTCAAAGTTCACAGCAGCCTTGCTTCTGACACCCCCAGAGGGGGTGTGCTAGTCTGGCTCCCCACACCTCCCCCTTTACTGTTTTTTTGAAGTACAAGCATTACAAAAATTAACATTAAGCATTGCTACTCTTAATATGTAGGGTGTAGTACATTGGAGCAGACCACACAAAAATTCCATGTCCAAGCAGCATTCAATAGCAGGTGTCACCTTCACAACGAAGGCAAGCTAGATTTACAGCATTGTGGGGCAACGCTCAAAGCCTCAGGAGGGATTGCCGGCTAGGCACATCCCCAGTGTTTGCTGGCTTTACTGCGGCTGTGCCTGTCTTAGGTTGTCCTCCTCTGAGGATCTTACCCGTCATTGACTATCCAGCCATCCCTTTGGGTCCAGCATCACAGTCAGTATTATTTTTAGAGGACAATGGCCTTGCAAGTAATATTAGACCATATGCCACTAAGAAGTATATGCACCCACATTTCTTATTTCAGCTTTTGTCTGTGGCTTCTGCTAGGACTGATTCTGTGTGCCTCTTGTCTGTACAAACACCTCTTATTCTAATACCTATTTTACTGTCTGTAATTTTAAATGTAGTTTAGTTTACAGGATTTTGTTGTCTAGATTTTCACAAATGCAGACTGCTGCATATAACAAAAACAGAATAATTATACAGGCAACAAGTATCATGAACATCCAGAAGGCATGCCTCAGAATTCCAAAAGGATTAATCCCTGTAATTGACCCAGTGTCTTTTCTATTTTTGCAGGATCCTCTATATCAAGGTGTGCATGTTGTATTTCATCAAGTTCCCGATGTAATTTAATTAAATCACTGGTTAAATTATAACGGCCTTGAGTTCCGTGAAGTTGCTTTTTAACTGTTTTCCAATTCCACTTTGTATAATTCCAAACTGCAGGGGTCCCACAGATGGCAACATAATTACTGTGACATCTGAGCCTTGTCTTAATCTTATCATCTCCAGCTCATCTCCTGTAGACATAGTGGCTGCCTCAAGAGCTGCCAGTCTGGCCTCTAGCCTCCAGTCAATATCCTCCTGAGTGGCCATAAGCTGAGAAACATTTGATGTTAATTGATTTACAGAATAGGCTTTTTGAATAGTTTGAGAAAGTGAAATGGCAGCAACCATAGAACCGACAACAATTCCTATCAATGTCACAACACCAAAAATCAATAATCCCAATGCACTTTTACGTCAAGACAACATTTTTTCCATGTGTTGCAACACTGCCAAACCCCTGTCCTCACACCACTCTTCTGTTAAATTGACAGGAATGATCACATATACAGGCTGCTTTAACACCAGCAGGCTTTGTCCCTTACTATAAGTAGATACACAGGGAGTAAGATTACAATTTATACAAGACACATAAAATTCCCCTCCATGTGGAGTTACATTGACCTCCCCTGTTATAATCACATAAGGGCTGGGAACACAAGCCATTAGTCCATAGATATCATTGGTGAATGTGCTGGAAAAATTGACATGGTCCATGGCAGCGACCAGACACCACAGTTCCTTCTGCATTGTCCTGTGGTTTGCTGTTAAAATATTACTGATGAACTCTACAAACGACATATTTTGTTGATACCCAGCATGATCAATTGCATTATGTGACCAATCATACATTGTCCAACTTTTAGAAAGATTGTCTTACAGGGAGCACATCAGTACAGTTCTTTTATTTCAGAAAGCCTTTGAATTTTACCCCAGTCTTATGATGAGGATATTTCATGGTGGGGGGTGTGCTCGGGCTCCTGCTGTTGCCACTGTTCTGTCTGTACTGCTGTCTCCACTCGCCGGCCAGGCTCACCTGGTTCCCTGGGCCATGGAGCAAGCTCATCCGCCCCCCGCTGCCATGGAGCCCCCAGCACATTTCAGCCCCAGGCCACCATTTCGGGTCGTGGCCTGGTCCGGGTCCAGTGGCCCTGCGAACAGGGCTGAGGCCCGGCAGCCATCTGGCTCAGCCACTCATTCCCAGTTCTCCCTCCCCCCGACCCGTGCAGCCACAGTGGTGGCAAGTGCCCCAGGGGCCCGCCTAGCTGGGCCTTGGGGGCCACTCTAATCCTGCTCCCCCGCGCCCTCCAGCTCCACCAGGTCTCCATCAGGATTATCTGAGAACTTTCCTAGATCAACTTAATTTGCTTCAGATATGGGAGGGAGAAGGGAACCTGTACTTTGGTTGGGCCAGATTCCCTTCCTGCCGCCTGTAGGGGGCAAAATTTGGGCACTCGGACTATTTGTGCCTCCTTGATAGGCTCCTTTCCTTTTAAGTCCCTTTGGGAGGTGGGAGTTGGAGGGGTAGCTTCAAGAGGGGAAGAAGACATGAGGGATCCCAGATACTGGGGCAATACTGGGACACTACCAATGGGACAGAGGTTACAAGATTTGCCTAATCATGGGTTATCCTGCAGGGAAAAGAAAGTTTGCACGTATGGGATTTTATTCCATTTACCCTCCCTATTACAGAAAAGATTCCTTCCATTTTAAGGTAGCATTGTAATTTCCACTTTCCTCAGGTGGCCAGCTTCTTTTTTAGGGTTTGGGGGTTAAATTGATTCCAGTTATCCAATATGCATTTTAGAGGAGACTTGGCCTTTGGAAGGGTGGCGCCCATCTGGAATTATAAAGCACAGGGATGCCTGCACCTCTGATCAGCTTTATCCACAGTACCAAGAGCATCCCCTGGGTCTTAGAGACAGGTGCGTAATCACCACCTTTTTTTCTGTCCCCCTAGACCCACCAAAGAGGGCAAGAGGACTATCGGATTTCAGTGGCTCCTCTACCGATATGTCCTACATCCAGAGCAGTGAGATGTGACAGTGGGGTGCCACTGATGTTTTTAGGCCAGATTCCAATTAACATAAGCCCGTCCATAGAATTGTGCTACAAGGATAAATTGCTTGAAAAGTGCTCATGGACACATTAACTTGAAAGAAGGAGAGAGTTGTCCTGGGGCCAAGGATGGAATAAAAGCTTTCTAATGTTTCCTGCTGTCCCCACTTCTGATTAAAGCAAAAAGCTCCCCCGTCAGTGAGGGTTTAGAATCCTATTCTCCCATTTACTATGTTGGCCTAGAAGTTCTAATGCATGGAAAGCCGATCCCACACACCATCAGTGATAGGTATAGGGGCTAAACAGTGAGTTTGGGCTTTCTGGGGAGCAGAGGGCAAGATGACCCGCTGCCTCTGGGACCCACATAGCTTGCTCTATCGTCCTAGGGAGCACATTCTGGTTTGAAGACTAAGGGATAAGGTGAGAGACAGGTCTCAACATACCCCGCATGAGGATTTCCTTTCTTAAAGGCAGGAGGACACCAAGAACAGGGGATCTGAGACCGTCACCCAAAAAATCTTACAAGCCTACAGAGGAAGGCTGTGGCTTGGTCTGTAGGAAGAACCTTGTGAGAGAAAATGGAGAAGTCATCTTTTTAAGAAGATAAAGGCACCCAGGAGGTTAGGATCCAGCAAAGTGGGTAGAGCTCACATGGGTGGCTTTGCTTTGGGGATTTCCAACAGGGCCTTGGTCTCAACTGGACCCTAGGGTTAAGGCAGGGGGACATAAAAGGAGCTACTGAGGGAGGTACAGGTTCAGGCAGGAGAGCAGCAATGAGGTGTGGCTGTAGCCCAGGAACAGTGACGGAGGCAGACAATTTTGCTAAGATATCCCAGACTCACAGGGGAACTGACAAGTGGGGATGATCAGGAAAGAACGTGGAAAGCAGTGCTGGCCTAATTGACACCAGACTTGGGGAGTTTTGAGAGGCCTGGAGGTCTTGCCGTCAATTCCCACAACAGGTATGAAAGCCAAGGAGACAGGTCCTTGAAAAGAAGGCAGCGTGGGGTGGGTGCCTCCGTGTTGATTAAGAAGGGGATGGACTTACCTTCCATCATAAGAGTTACCCAAAGCTAAGCATCCGTGATGGTCCGCTGGGCCTCGGAGATGTTTGGGCAGCGTCGGTCTTCAGCTGCCAAGCCGATTTGATCTGGGAGCTTTGGGTTAGAGCTCCAGGACCTCTGGGAGCAGCAGCCGGGGCCCCGGACAGATGGGGCAGGGCTAAGGAGGAGTCCCTGGCTGTGGGTGTTCCTTGGCCCAGCGGCCAGGTTTCCCACACTTGAGGCAAGGTTCAGGAGGGGAGGCTGGACGCTGCAGTCTGGGCGCTCTGAAGTCTTTGTGAGCCAGTGGTGTGGCTGGGGTTTGTCTCACAGCAGAGGCAGCATCTGTAATTCTGAAACATGCTGCTGTTTGGCAGCTTCTTCTCAGTTATTAAACACCTTAATGGCAAATCGAGTTAGTTCCTGTTGTGGGATTTGAGGGCCAAATTTAAATGTTTGGAGCGTTTTAATGTCAGGGGCTGATTGGGTGATAAGCGCTCTTCAGGGGTGAGAGTAAGGATGGCATTAAAGTCACTCGAGGTGAGATTATAGGACTGAGTCAATTCTTGGAGGATCTGATGAAAAGGAGCCTAAACGTTGGCCGATTTGGGAAAGGTCAGATAAAGAGAAAGGAACATGCACCCAACTATGCCTTCGGCTCCAGCCTCCTCTCGAAGGGGGAACTGTTGGGCAGGGGCGGAGGAGGTAGCCATGGGACTAAACTGTAAGCCGGACCGGGTATGAGGTGGGAGGTGACAGGAGGGGCACAGGGTGGTGGGGTGCGGGCAGAGGAAGAGGAGGGAGGCTCTGGGGGGTTTGAGCCTGGATTGAGGTCTGGTTTGCACAGGAGGGGAGGAGAAAGGTCGGAAGGATCGATGGACAAGGGTTCTGGGTTACTGCTGGGGGCAGGAGGGGCCGATGGAAGGGGAGAAGGAGCAGAGATTAGGGAGGGTTAGTGTTAAAAAGACGCCTGGACGTCCGGCACCTTAGACCATTTATCTGCCCATTTGTTGACAAAAATTGTCTAGGTCTGGCAGAATAGAGAAATCGAAAGTGCCAGTTTCTGGCCATTTGGATTGAGGCCAGGCTGTGTTACAGAGATGTTCAGGTTTCAGATCCGGCGACAGCTGAAGTTTTAGGGTTTAGGATGCAGGCTAGAGGTGAGGACTGAGGAACAGAGGGCTGAGTGTTGCCCATAGCGATGAGGTAGTTTTAGGAAAGGAGTAGAGTGGAGACTAGGAGAAGGAGTGAGCAGCCACCAGCGTTTCAGTAGGCGTCCCTGACTGGTTCCTGGGCTGCACGTGGGACAGTGATCAAGGCAGGCATGCCGAGATTGACCAGACACCACGGGAAGAGTCTCGTCTTCCTGAGTCCGTGACCGACGTCGGAGTTCTTGAGCAAGAGGGAGAGATGTGTCTCCTCCAGCTCCACATGAATACAGGGTGTCTCTTCATCTCTACTAGAAAAAGAAAGACTTAAAGGGAAGAGAGAAAGAGGAAGAGAATTGTCTCCTTAGGATGTGAAGAGAAAGTGGGGAGGGGGAGGGAATTGTCTCCCGTTGTCTAAAGGAAAAGAGAGAGAAAGAGGGGGAGACTGCTTACCTGATCTGAAGGTGGCAGGAGCTCTTCGGCACGCTAAGCAGGAGCTGCTGGCCTGGTCTGATGTGTTGCGGTCTCAGGTGGGTCTCTTCCCAGAGGGGAAGGGGGACAGGAGGCTGATCTCCGCAAAGGAGCACCCTTGTCCTGGGTTTCCAGCACCGAATGTTAAAAACTGCGCTGTGAATGAAGAGACTCCCAAACAGGCTTTGCGTGAGCAGCGGGGCTGTTTATTCACCTGGGTGCAGGTGGGCTGAGGCTGAAAAGGGTGTCAGTGGAGGGCGATTGGATAGGAGTTGTTTTTATAGGTTTGGGGTGGGCACTGGAAAGTTACAGATGATGGTTTTTTGCAAGCTGGGAGGGGGTCGTAGGGTGTGGAGTCATGAGGCTGACCAAGCTGGGAGGGGGTCGTAGGGTGTGGAGTCAGGAGGTTAGCCAAACAACAGAAGAATGTTTCAGGTTAGTTAGGCGCTGAAGGGTTGATCATTTCTTCCAGGAACTCATCTGGAGTGTCTGCGCAGGTCACAGAGATTACCAAGCAGTTTATGGTGCAAGTCAGACCTTCCATTCCTGTCTTTTTATATGAGTAATATAAGGGATAAAGAAATGAAGAGTGGAGGGCAGTGGAATATTAGGAAGGCCGGCGTGGAGGGGTGATGGGGCGATGCTCCTCAGGGCTTCTTTGAGTGGGATTGGGGGTGGTGTGAACACCTAAAAATAAAGAATTTAGACTGCTGGGAGATCTCAGGGCAAGGGGTGATATTGTTGGGTTGTTAGAAGGAGCATTTGTCATACTGATTGATTAGTTATTCCTTATATATGATTTTGTAAGAACTGAGAGATTAATCGGAAAACACGGGTCCAAATAAGAGAAAAAAGATAGTATCAGAGGAGTAAGAAGTTGACTCCCAGTTAGAGTGTCCAGCCAGTCCAGCTAGGACCAGAGTAACCATTTGCCCGACTGGCAAGCTTTTGGGGTCTTTCAATTTACTGATGGCGTCATATATGAGGCCAGTCTGGTTTACATTAAACAAAAAAAATCTTCATTTAGGAGTAGACAAAGACATCCTTTTTCAGCAGTCAGTAAATCAAGACCTCTGCGGTTTTGGAGGACAACTACAGCTAGGGAATTTACTTGAGCTTAAAGAAGGAATAGCGATTGAGTTAATTCTGCAATGCCAGCAGAGAAATCATCAGAGGCTACGGAAGGTGCTGGTTGAAGTGCTGAGGCCTGCTATGCCTGTGCCGAGGGCAGTAGTAATTCCTAACCCTGCAAGGAAGGGGATTGATGGAATGACCCGCGTGGGGCTCGTCGGGACCACAAGGGGAACAGGGAGGCTTTTGTCCCTGTTCCCCGCGTGGATCTCGTCAGGACCACAAGGGGAACAGGGAGGCTTTTGTCCCTGTTGGCAAACTGAATTTTGGAAATAAGAGAAACTAGGATACAAGTGCCTGTCCAGTTGGTAGGAAGGCAGAGGTAAGAAGTACCACAGAGGAGAAAAGGCCCTTGGCTTAGACAGAACTGTAGGATTCAGCCCTACAGGGTCCTGTGAGCCCCTCTCCACTGGCGGGGAGATGAGAAACTGTGGAAATGAAGACACAGGACACAGAGATCGAGAGGAAGAGTTTGGGCCCAGGGGTCCACTGCCAACAAAAGCTCGGAGTCGGGCACTGGCCCCGAGTCCCTGGGCACCCTGACTTTTACTGAGTACAAAGCCGGGGCAGAGTAGGCAGGATGAGTCATTGGTGGTCAGTGACGGGCTCAGGTACATCACGAGTCTTGGAGATAGGGGCCCAGGTCTTTCACGTAACTGAGGTGAATAGAAAACCTAATGCATCAGCACTTTTCTCATATTTGTCAAGAAAGAACAAAGACATTAAGGTTTATGTTACTTTTACTGACTCTTTATCTTCTAAGAAAAAGAGGAGCCAGGTGCAGAAGCGGAACATGAGAGTAGACACGCAGGGTGACTGCTGAAGCCGGCACCGCATAGATACCGTCAAGCCCCCCATGTGTGTGGGCTTCCCTGGCAACCGCCAGGCCCGCCGCAAGAGCTTGGAGGAGCGGAGTTTTCTCCTAACTCCCCCGAGGAAGGAGACTTCTCGGTCATTTTGGACGTCTCCTTCCCTAGCTAGCTAAACAGCAGGCACTTTCCCAGAGTTGGCGCTGCCACACAGCCGAGGTGCCCTCCAGCAGCCCTTATGCGGGCATGACAGAGGGCTTAGAGCATCTTGCCTTAGGATCGCTTTGTTCACAATGTCACCTCAGCTCCATGCTTCATAACCTGATAGTCATTAGTTAAATTAAAAGGTTATATTGAGTATATTTGTGATTAAATATGAATAACTATGCGATTATTTGATTAAATATGGAAAGAACTATATCTAATTCTTTGCTAGTTCTGTATTCATACTCATATTTCTGTGATTACATATGAATAACCATGTGATTATGATTATATACAGGAATAACTATGTAACTATATCTCTAATTCTTTTCTAGTTCTGTATTCATATGGGAACAGGCCGAGGCTTCAGACCCTTGCCTCTGCACTTGCAGGGTCTCCCATGGGGTCCGCCCCATCCCGTCAGAACTGTAAGTGTAAACTGAAAAGGTCAGAAAGTGTTCTGAGGGGGCTGGGGCTTTGGACCCAAATGCCAAGGGAGCCAGCAAGGGCTGCGGCTGTTAAAGGTGATGGCGGATTTGGCAGGGTGCCTGTGTGGAGGGAGAGCTGTTGTTTTCACGGTGTATGAGGAGTGTGTGATAAAGTCACCACTCACTTTTGTTCACAAGATTGGGAATGAGCAGAGCACGGGAGCGAGATTAAGAGTGAAATATCAACTGTAATTTCCTGGAGGAAAAGTGTAAACCGGCAACTTAAAAAAAAGCAGGGCATGTAGAAGTAAATGAGTACAGTGAATTTGAGCAGTGAGACGAAAAATCACAGCAGCAGAGACTTTCTGAGGCGTGGTTTAAGCAGTGGGGGCGACTGCATAAAGCTGGAGAAGGTGAGGGTCTGAAAGTAAGCGTGGGAGGTGTGAAGAGGAGACTCAGCTTTGGAGGCTGTGAGAGCTAGAGAGGGTAGGTGGGGCAGAGCCTGTGATTTTGAGGGGTTCTAAGAGTATGGGGGGGGCAGCTGCTGCCGCGTGTAGGCATGAGGGCCAGCCCGGGACTGTGAGGGTAAGTTGTTTGTATAAAAAGCCTACAGGCCGTGGGTCTGGCTCCTATGTGAGAATGCTGTGTCAGTAAAGACCGTAGAGACAAGCGCATTTGCTTTTTGATTAAATTTAGTTAAAGGGCCTGGGAGAGTTCTGTGCTCTGATGGTGAGCGATATGAAAAGGAAACTTTTTGTTGTGCTGCTTGCTGTAAGGAGTTGAATAAAAATTAAGCTGGCCATCTGTCACATCTGAATTAAAGCACATTCAGTATTTAGAGCTGCTTGCACTACATAGGCTGAATTAGAAATTATGTTTACAGGTTGTTTAAATGTTCGTAAAACCTTAATTACCGCTGTTAACTGGGCTCTTTGTGCTGACAAATAATGAGTTTGCCACACTTTTTGTTGCAGCCCCACAAAAGCACCATTGCCACTGCTGCAGTCATTAGTAAAGAGTGACAGCCCCTTCCATGGGATATCTTTGAGTGATAGAAGGTAGTACNGCTGCCACACAGCCGAGGTGCCCTCCAGCAGCCCTTATGCGGGCATGACAGAGGGCTTAGAGCATCTTGCCTTAGGATCGCTTTGTTCACAATGTCACCTCAGCTCCATGCTTCATAACCTGATAGTCATTAGTTAAATTAAAAGGTTATATTGAGTATATTTGTGATTAAATATGAATAACTATGCGATTATTTGATTAAATATGGAAAGAACTATATCTAATTCTTTGCTAGTTCTGTATTCATACTCATATTTCTGTGATTACATATGAATAACCATGTGATTATGATTATATACAGGAATAACTATGTAACTATATCTCTAATTCTTTTCTAGTTCTGTATTCATATGGGAACAGGCCGAGGCTTCAGACCCTTGCCTCTGCACTTGCAGGGTCTCCCATGGGGTCCGCCCCATCCTGTCAGAACTGTAAGTGTAAACTGAAAAGGTCAGAGAGTGTTCTGAGGGGGCTGGGGCTTTGGACCCAAATGCCAAGGGAGCCAGCAAGGGCTGCGGCTGTTAAAGGTGATGGCGGATTTGGCAGGGTGCCTGTGTGGAGGGAGAGCTGTTGTTTTCACGGTGTATGAGGAGCGTGTGATAAAGTCACCACTCACTTTTGTTCACAAGATTGGGAATGAGCAGAGCACGGGAGCGAGATTAAGAGTGAAATATCAACTGTAATTTCCTGGAGGAAAAGTGTAAACCGGCAACTTAAAAAAAAGCAGGGCATGTAGAAGTAAATGAGTACAGTGAATTTGAGCAGTGAGACGAAAAATCACAGCAGCAGAGACTTTCTGAGGCGTGGTTTAAGCAGTGGGGGCGATTGCATAAAGCTGGAGAAGGTGAGGGTCTGAAAGTAAGCGTGGGAGGTGTGAAGAGGAGACTCAGCTTTGGAGGCTGTGAGAGCTAGAGAGGGTAGGTGGGGCAGAGCCTGTGATTTTGAGGGGTTCTAAGAGTATGGGGGGGGGCAGCTGCTGCCGCGTGTAGGCATGAGGGCCAGCCCGGGACTGTGAGGGTAAGTTGTTTGTATAAAAAGCCTGCAGGCCGTGGGTCTGGCTCCTATGTGAGAATGCTGTGTCAGTAAAGACCGTAGAGACAAGCGCATTTGCTTTTTGATTAAATTTAGTTAAAGGGCCTGGGAGAGTTCTGTGCTCTGATGGTGAGCAATATGAAAAGGAAACTTTTTGTTGTGCTGCTTGCTGTAAGGAGTTGAATAAAAATTAAGCTGGTCATCTGTCACATCTGAATTAAAGCACATTCAGTATTTAGAGCTGCTTGCACTGCATAGGCTGAATTAGAAATTATGTTTACAGGTTGTTTAAATGTTTGTAAAACCTTAATTACCGCTGTTAACTGGGCTCTTTGTGCTGACAAATAATGAGTTTGCCACACTTTTTGTTGCAGCCCCACAAAAGCACCATTGCCACTGCTGCAGTCATTAGTAAAGAGTGACAGCCCCTTCCATGGGATATCTTTGAGTGATAGAAGGTAGTACGCATGAGGTTAATTTTAAAAACTGAAAAATTTATTTTTAGGATAATGATTATCAATTATTACAATGAAACCTGCCAAGCTAACCTACCAATTTTGTGAATTAATCTAGGCTTGTTGAATTTGATGTTTGTCTAAAGGAACAATAATTTTACTAGGGTTATATCCATGTAGTTTTGTAGTTCCAAGTTTTTCCTGTCCTACAAGCATGGCAATTTGATTCAAATATGTGATAAAACTGTTTGATGTACTGTGAGGCTGAAAAAGCCATTCTACTAAATTATTCTGTTGAACAATAACGCCTGCAGGGAATGTTTAGTTGGGAAAACTGACGCCTATAAAGTTGGTGAGGATCTATGCATTCTACCTAGGCTTGCTGAAGTTTTGCTTCAATTAACTTAATTTTTCCTAATGCCTCTTTAGACAAAGGACATTTGTTATTTACATCAGGGTCACCTTGTAAGGTAAAAAAGAGATGAGACATGGCATAGGCAGGTATTCCTAAAGTAGTACAAATCCAATTAACATCTTCTAGTAATTTTTGAAAATTATTTAAAGCTTTTAAATTGTCCCTTTGAATTTGAATCTTTTGTGGCCTGATAGAGCTACATTCTACTTTCATTCCTAGATATTGAAAAGGGGTAGTAGTTTGAATTTTGTCTAGAGCAATAATTAATCCAGCAGTTTCTACAGCAATTTCCAATTGTTGATAGCATTTTAATAACTCCTCTCTGGTCTCAGCCACACACAAAGTATTATACACATAACGTATGATATAACAGTTCTTGAATTGTTCCCTAAGGGGCTGAGTTGCTCTACCAAAAAAAGTCTGACAAATAGTAGGACTATTTAGCATATCTTGGGGAAGAATTTTCCAATGATCTCTCTCGGCTGGTTCCTTTTACTGCCAGGATAGTAAAAGCAAATGTTCCATAATTTTGAGCAGCTAAAGGAATGGTGAAAAAAAAGTTTTTAAGATCTATTACTGAGAGGCCAATTTTTTGGAGTCATGGTTGGAGAAGGTAGCCGTGGTGGAGCCCTCCCATGGGCTGAATTACTGCAGCAACAGCTTTTAAATCTTAACATTCTCTGTTTTCCTGACTTCTTTCTAATTACAAATACAGCTGAATTTCAAGGGGAAAAGGAAGTTCTATTTGTCCTTTTGTAATTGCTCCTTGTTAGGGACAGGCCGCCTCAGAAAACCCCCTCCGTGGAAGCTGCCCCCTTCCCCCACTCTGCTTGCTCCGCAGCTGCATTCCTGAGCCCCTACCAAGGGGCCACATCAAGGCTACCAGACGCGCTGCCATTAAGCAAAGCCTGATGACAGGCATCCGGGCAGCTCCAGGACGGGGAAACCACATGTTAGTTACCCACACTTGTAAATTACTGTTTGTCACGTCTGTAAAAAATCCTGGTTTCTCTTTTTTAAAATCTGCCGCCATAAAAGTCACAGGATGATGTATTGTGGGTCTGTTACAAGGTGACAAACTATCTCTGTGCCTGTTACCAGCAGATAGATGACCTCAGTCCTGAAACTCCCTCACGCTCCTCTCAGACCTTTTAGCCCCTTGTTTTCTAAGCTCGGAGCTGCCTCCTCTGATTGTTACGGAGCAGCCCGGCAGCTGAATAAAACCTGTTGCCTGACTTTGGGTCTACTCTCCTTTCTCTCGGCCATCCTTACACTCCTGAACAGGTTGTTTGAAAGCCTCCAGCTTTTCTTGTTTCAGCGGCCATTGTTCTACCCAAACTGGTTTGGCAGTCAGCCAAGGAAGAGGAATGGGAGCCAGAGGGTCAACAATGGCCGCTCCTAAAAATGATATCCTAGTCCAGTTTGGCCTCTGTCCCCAAATTTCTAAAAGCTTAGTTTTGCCATTTTTGTAGGTAAGGGCCCCACAGGGTGGTGGGGTGTCCCTTATGCTGTACAGAAGCGCAGGATCTGAGAAATAAAGAGAGGACACAGAAGTACAAGGAAAACACAGCTGGACTGGGGGGCACGGCACGCCACCTATAAGCAGAGACAGATGAGGCCCTGAATGTCCAGAGGCGTCTGGATTTATTGTGTATAGGTTAGAGGGCAGGGTAGTGAGTGAAGTTATCTTTAAGGATAGTGATAGGGTCATGAGCAATAAAACAAGGGGTCCACCCGCAACAGGTCACCTAGGCTAGGAGGTGGAAACTGCGCAGCAAGGGGTCCATTCCCATTAGGTCATTGAGGCAAGGAAGTGGGCTGTGTGCAGTAAGGGAATCCACCCCCATTAGATCACCGAGGCATGGAGGTGGGCCGTGCCCAGTGAAGAGTGTGCAGTGTGCAGTATTTCTATCAATGGGCATGCTACTCTTAAGAAGATGTATAGGAGGACGTTTAAGTCTCACAGCAGTGACAGAGCTGACAGGGTCTACCGCCACCTGCTGGCAGCTCCCAATGAGTTCTATCGGAGAATGCTTTTCCAGCAGCTCAGTAACAAAAGCTGATAAAGTTCACAGTCACGAAGGTGCGATTATCCAGAGGGGTTTTGAGCTCTCAGATGCTTGAGGGATTGCCAGTCTGAGGGCAGCCTTCCACAAGAACTGGACGCAAGGTCCTACAACTCCTTTATCAGGAGGAGTGGCTCTTGCCCCAAGCCTGCCATACAGCAGGTATCTTTACGATACTGAAGGCTGCCACCTGGGCCATGGAATCTTGTCCTGGTATAACTGTTTTTCCCTTAAATCATGCTCTGCACTGTGTCTGCTCCAGACATTCCTCTGACTATAAGTTGCTTATTCCTTAATTCATGCTCTGTACCACATCTGCTCTAGGCATTCCTCCGATTATAAACTGAGATATAGATATATCTAGGAAAATAACTGAGTGGTAAGATATTCTTTAGGCACTCATTCTATGAACTAATATGATTATATATAGAGAATTAGATAAAACGAAATAACTGAGTAGTAACACTATAAACTGAGATATTCTTCAAGCCCTAATTCTATAAACTAATATATGATTATATATACAGGATTATACAAAAGGAAGTAATTGAGTAGTAACACTATAAGCTGAGATAA